GCTTTTTTCTTTTTGCTTATGTGGTGCTGAGGAATCAAACCCAGGGCCTCAGGCATGCAAGGCAAGTGCTCTACCACTGAGCCACCTTCCCAGCCCTCATTTTATTAAATATTAAGAAGATGTAGGTTAAAATAAATGGATGCCAAAAGCATTCATGTATTCTCATTGATTCTTTCAGAGTATCTCTTATAAGGTCTTAATCAAAAGGATCAAATGATTTAGGCCTACAAGGAGAGTGGCAGGACTGATAATCCGCATTTAGGCATTGATGCTTGCACAGCATCATCCCACTTTTAGCTTACTACTTTAATACAAGTCAACTCAGATTAATTCATCTTATAAGATTTTGCCTAAAACACATCAAAGACTTAAAAAAAAAGATTTCCAATTCTAATTTCGTCTTTATTGGCACCACCCCAACAACATTTAGTGCATCAGTTAACACAGGCTGTGTACTTGTTTAGCTTTCTGTGTTACATGGTAAATGTGCCATTGGATAAGAGGATGATCTTTCTAACATTGGTTTGACCCACTTAGGTAATGAATCCTTCCAGCACCTGTTGCTTTCCAGAATCAGTACCTATAAAGAATTGTGCTGTCATCTATAAAGGCTCACCCGCAATTCTAGAATTTTTATTATCTTGCCCTTTTTATTGGAAAAGATTTGTTAGGAATGAGTCAGATCTACATTGGTAAACCCCAATGGAAAGAGAAAAAGGAAAATACAGAAAAATAGAAAACTATCCTTATAACATGCTATCATATATTAAAATGTTACATATGTAGGAAATAGAAAAAAGACTAGACTATATAATAACTTCAAATCAGTGGTTAGCCAGGTGCAGGTGGTTTGCCAGGTGCAGATGGCTGTCTGTAATCCTAGATACTCAGGAGACTAGATTCTCATGAATATTTAGTATATAGTATCCAGCCAGGACAGTAAAGTCCATGAGATTCTTCTCCAATTAATCACTTAAAACGCTGGAAGTAGAGTTGTGACTCAAGTGGTAGAGTGTAAGCATTGAGTAAAAAAACTCAGAGAGCCAAGCACCAGTGGCTCATTCCTATAATCCTAGCTACTCAAGAGGCTGAGGTCTGAGGATCATTGTTTGAAGCCAGACCAGGAAGAAAAGTCTATAAGACTCTTATTTCCAATAAACTACTCAGAAAAAGCTGGAAGAGGTGCTGTGGCTCAAGTAGAAGAGTCAGTACCAGGGCTTCAACTCAGGTATTCCCATTCTTACTAGGCTTTCTTGCTCACACCGGCACTCTCGATCCACACCTTCAGCCTGGCATTATGTTAACTGGAGATGGGAGTCTCTTGTACTTTTAGCCCAGGCTGGCTTCAAACCTCAATTCTCCAGGTCTGACTCCTGGAGAATAGCTAGGATTAGAAATATGAACCACTGGTGCCCAGCTATGAGTTTACTATTGAAGCAAATTAACCTTTAAAAAATTAAGATGGAGGGTCTGGGAAGGTGGTTCAGTGGTAGAGTGCTTGACTCCCATACATGAGGCCCTGGGTTCGATTCCTCAGCACCACATAAACAGAAAAGGCCAGAAGTGGTTCTGTGGGTCAAGTGGTATAGTGCTAGCCTTGAGCTGAAGAGCTCAGGGACAGTGCCCAGGCCCTAAGTTCAAGCCCCAGGACTGGCAAAAAAGGAAAAAAAAAAATCAAGATGAATTAGGATGGAGGTATAGATCAAGTAGTAAAACCTGCCTTGTATGCATCAGGCTCTGAGTTCAAACCCTAATACTAAAAGATAAGAAAATCAAAACAGATCCACAAGATCCATCAAGATCTATCACTGGATCACAATCTAGTCTATGCGGCTCTGCACTCTTTTCTGTCTTTCTAGGTCCCCCAGTCCTGGTTATCAGGCCTACTGTGGTAGTTTACCCAGTTTACTTTTGGATCTTTCCTGTATGGTAGTCTTAGAACAATGTCAAAGTTTTAAGAGTTACTCTTGCTGCTGCTTTTTCAATTTCTTTTTAGGATCCTGTCTTATTGAAACTAGCTCATTGTATAAATTGATCTGTCCTAAGGTAATCACATTTTACAAAATAAGTCTGCAGTTCAACAGGGCATTGTGGAATATATTTCCAACTATACAAATGACCAGCTCCTCTACCACTGCAAGACAAAGTAGAATATAATCTTCAAATGAACTACTAAAATGACAGCCCCATTGGTTTATAACTTGCTTTTTTTTTTCCTACCCCCCTCAGTTGTGGGGCTTGAACTCTGGGCCTTGGCGCTGTCCCTGAGCTCTTCAGCTCAAGGCTAGTGCTCTACCATTTGAGCTGCAGCGCCACTTCTGGTTTTCTGGCAGTTTATTGGAGATAAGAGTCTCACAGACATTCTTTGCCTGCGCTGGCTTTGAACCACAGTCCTCACATCTAAGACTCCTTTGTAGCTAAGATTACAGGCATGACTACCGGTACCCGGCCAATTTGCTCTTTAAATATGATGCACTAATTTGGTTTTTGTTAACAGCTGAGGCAAAAAAAAGAAACCTATTTCTTTTATAGATAAAGAAACAGATCTAAGCAAGTCCTAACATTCAGAAATACCTAGCAATTAACAACGAACTTCTAATCCAGGACTCCAAATCCTTCTCTATTAAAATATGCTAGCTGGGCGCTGGTGGCTCTCGCCTATAATCCTAGCTACTCAGGAGGCTGAGATCTGAGAATCATGGTTCAAAGCCAGCCCGGGCAGGAAAGCCCTTGAGACTCTTTTTTCCAATAAAGCACTAGAAAACGGGAAGTAGCACTGTGGCTCAAGTGGTAGAGCGCTCGCCTTGAGCTGAAGAGCACAGGGACAGCGCCCAAGCCCAGAGTTCAAGCCCCACGACCTACAGCAAATTGTGCTGAATGGCAGCTAGATCATATATGAAACTGGTGCTAGGATTCTGCCTCATATTCAGAATCTCGATCTGTATTATCGTGAATGATTCCAAGTTGGTGGTTTATTGAGGAAACACTGGCCTAAAAGCTTATGTCACTGATAGTTTTGGTATAGGTTGTAGAGACTGGAATTTCAAAATAATCAGTTTTTTCTTTTAGTCCTGGCCATATGCTTTGTATTTGAGGAACTTTGAACATATGGCATTAAGGAACTAGCTTGGGATAAGGAGGTTTATGTCTGAAGATTCTAGTTTAAATTCATGGTTCTCATCCTTTTTTTTCTTTTCGTCAGTGGTGGGGCCTGAACTCTGGGCCTGGGCGCTGTCCCTCAGCTCTTCAGTTCAAGGCTAGCGCTCTACCACTTGAACCACAGTGCCACTTCCGGCTTTTTTCTTTTTGCTTATGTGGTGCTGAGGAATGGAACCCAGGGCCTCATGCATGGGAGGCAAGCACTCTACCACTGAGCCACCTTCCCAGCCCAGGTTCTCATCTTTTTAAAAACTTTGATTTTATTTGTTGTTGGTCATGAGGCTTGAACTCTGGGCCTGGACTCTGTCCCTCAGCTCTTCTGCTCAAGGCGAGAGCTTTACCACTTTTAGCTACAGAGCCACTTTAGGTTTTCTGGTGGTTAATTGGAGATAAGAGTCTCAAAGACTTTCCTGCCCGGGCTGGCTTTGAACCGCGATCCTCAGATCTCAGCCTCCTGAGTAGCTAGGATTACAGGCGTGAGCCACCGGTGCCCGGCTAGTGGTTCCTATTGTTTAAGTAAATACAGCAGATAGCAGACTCTGCCCTCCACCCGGGCACGTGTCCAGGACACATGTGAAACTGAACATTGATTGTAGAAAAGCCAGTTCGCGCCACCTTTTAGGGAACACCGGAATCTCACAGCAGCTCCCAAAAATAGATAAGATATGGTTATCTATAACTGTTTACCCACTGGACTCTTAAGAGCTTTTTTTTCTTTTAAGTCCACATCTAGCCCTGATGTCTTTAGCTAAGATCCACTAATAACCAAGACCTTACTGATAGAGGATAGAACGGATTCACCGGGCTGTACGAGTTATCCACTACGGGGTACACCAGATTTCCTCAAATTACAAAACGAACAAGAAAGATTTCTGTTGCTGGAGAGTAGGTCAGATCCTGCCACTTTACCAGAAAATCGTGAAATTGCTCTCCAGAGCGGGCCCCGGAGCTCAGGCCGGCGATCCTGACGAGGCAGGAGGGGTCTGAGAGCCGAGGACCGCGGTTCGAAGCCAGCCCGGGCTGCAAAGGCCAGGAGCCTCTCATCTCCCAGGAAGCGCTCTCGGCAGGCCGCGAGGCCGCCTCTCAAGTGGTAGAGCGCCGGCCTTGAGCGAGAGCAGCCCCG